CATTTGATCCTAACATTTGTGCCAAGTTTTCGTTTTAGTCCCTATATCTAAAATTCTATGTTTCAGTACCTACACACGGCGATTCTTCTCTTAAATTTTAGTCTTTATACCACATTTTGAGACAATTTTATACTGTCAGAAAGCTAACAAGGGTTAAAACAAAAACAAATGCTTGTATAAGACTAAAATATAGAGCTTTTAGATATAGGAACAAATACAAAAAGTTATGTAGGAACAAATGATTAATTAAACCTATGAAAAATTAACATTCTTCAGTTTGGAAGGTAAACAGTTACCACAAATAAAGTTTGCAAACCACTCAAACTTCAGCTGTGTATGGAAACACATTCAACACCAGTTAAATGGATATTTAACATACCACTTTCCAATGTGAAAAAGTACAAGGAAGTGTGGTGTTAAATTTCAGTTACATTAAACCTAACTTCAATACAAACAGATACTTAATCGTTCCCACAATGTTTACATAACTCAAGTTTCTGTACAACACATCTTAGAAGCAATACAGACATGATGGACAAAGCACTTCTATACATACATAGTGTTCCTATTTCCAAATAACAGTCTGCAACTGATCACCATGCACTACCCCTTTAATTTCAGAGAATCTTAGCAAGCTTTTTTAAAAAATAACCAAAAAATGAGAAGCAAGAGTGTATACCAAGATTGAATCCATAAAATGCACTCGCCGTGCCGCCAACGGCAGAACCAATCTGAAAATGTTCAACCCCAAAAACAAAGATCAGAAATTTCGCACACCCACATAGATATCGAAGAAATAAACTAAATGGGTGAGAATAATTCACCATAGAGAAGCTATCCCTGATGAGAGGCGAAACGGTCCAGAGACTGGTTTCCTGAATCAAAGGAATGAAATTGGTAAGAGAGAAAGAGATAAAAGAATAATAACAATTATTGGGAAGAAATATACCATGCGGTTTGAAAGGGGTCCTGCGCAGTGATGGCATCGAATATTTTGAGTACTGTTACTGAGTTTGGAGGTTTCCATGTTATTATCACTGTGCTGCATACAGCTTAACCTAATCAGCACAGAAGAACCCTCTCTCTGATTCGTACTACTACTAGTCCAGGAACGCACACGTGGTCTTGGTTGTGCAAAGAAACAAACTATACAAATCGACTGCAAAAATTCGAAGCAGAGAATAGAACGAAAAAGGTAAACAGGGCTAGAAGAGATAACAGATATTATTTATAAAGTGAAAAGGAAAAATTTGAAAAAAGAAATCTTTTAATTTTATTATTTAGTTAGGATTTATGATAATAGTAATAATAACAATTTATAACATTTTTTCTTTTCGAAAAGAAATATATTATATCTTCTCAATATCTTCATATCATATCTTTGTTAAAACAAAAGGATATTTGGAAGTTAAAGACGTGTATAACAACAATTCTTTTAATATTATCTATCTTTGACAGGACAACGGAAATAGAGTTTAATTACACATTTTTATAATAAAAAATAGTTATATATTTAATTAATATAATTTTCAACATCTTAATTAAGGGAATCCATCATCCAATAAAAAAATTAGAGGTTTTTAAGGTAGTAAAATATTAACTAACTTTAATGTTTATTGTATCAATTTGTAATTGTATTTATCTTTGTATAATTTTTTACTGTATTCGTAATAAAATAAAATCTAAAGACTTGTTTTGATTTACAACAGATAACTATCAATTTCAAAAATTAAAATAATCAATTTACAAATAAAAATAATTAAGCTAAGTATAACGTTTTCAATACAATACAATGTAGTACAAATACATGTCAACATATATAAATTAATAAAAAAAATCATAGAAAATTATGCAATCATAATATATATATATATATATATATATATATATATATAATACATGCATTTTACCAATTCATCACGACTAAATTAAATGTATAATGCATGATTGAGTATTTGAATGAATTCTCTTGTGAGAATATTTGTTTGTGTAATTCATCAAATTACAGAGCTGTCACGCACCATTGCTACACTTTAGCACCTAAATGACCAGTTGTTATAAATGTCTCAAAGATGAGACTTTTGCCTTTGTCGTTTTTTATTCAAACCTAAAGTCATAGCGTTCCACATATACTTTGTCTCTTAAGCGACATTGAGGAATTCATCTAATCATTACTTGTTGCTTGGTCATTACTTGAACAATAATTTATATATGATTCATTAAATTCCATCACAAACTTTTGATTACCTAACATAACGCAATTTCGATAACTTTAACATCCACACATCTCAAAACAATATTCAATTAAATAAATATTATTTAATTTAATATAGATATGTATCACTAATAAATGATAGTCTATTAACATGAATAGATAACTAGTTATTAATAACAATTTCTTTCTGATAATTGACTTTTCACAAATGTGTTTATATGATGTTTTTTAGGAATTTTTTTGAAGTAGTTTCTGAATTTTTAATTGATTATGTTTTTATTTTTTTTCACTTCAATATGTTTTTATTCAACATTTGGTTCATGAAAATATAGATGTTCTTGTCTGGACGGTAGATTTGTCATACTTATCCAACATAGACATCCTCCAATTCTTATAGGGTGTTGTTCCCTCCACCACCACACCTTTCTCCCTCCACCTCCCATTTACTATTTTGCCCCTAAGTAAAATTTTTTTTTAGGGTTATTTTTTAATTTTACCCATTCACAACCTATTCCACTAATAACTTATTCCAGTCCTTCGTATATGAGTAAAAATATTTTTCTTTTATTTTAACATTATATTTCTTCCTCTTTTTCTTTTGTTGGTGTGAGATACTACAAGTTGTAAAGGTTGATGGTGGTGGAAAGAATTATCAAGCAGTCTCCCTCTCGTGGTGCAGTGTCGCTCTCATGGTGCAATGTGTGGAGTGGTGCAGTGCGTGTGTTACTTCCTCAAGGTGCGTATTCGAATAAACCTTCAAATAAAACCCTAAAATAAAAAACGTAACCTTTAAACAGAGGTGACATCCTTCAACAGATGTCAAAATCCTTCAACGGATGGTTGAAGGATGTCGCCTACGTTTTTAATTTTAGGGTTTGTTTTATTAGTTTATTCTTTATTTTAGAAATATTTTAATAATTTAATTTAAATCTTTTGATTTATTATTTTTGAATATATTTTTAATGTATTTTAATAATGTAAGGAAAATGAAGAAGAAAGAATCATATGAGGAGAAGTGAAACGAAGAAAACAAATGGAGTTGTAGAGTAAAATTGAAGACAAATTGTTAAACGGAATTGAGAGATGGAAAGATTGAGTGCAGGGAGTAAAGTAGGAGAACTAGGTTTGAAATAAATTAAAATAGTATAAGTAAAATAATTTAATTTGAGGATATAATTGGAATTAAAAAAAATTGGGGAGGTGGAGGGAGAAAGGTGTGGTGATGGAGGGAGCAACACCCATTCTTATATTATAATGAGGTCCAATAACGTAGAGGCCCACTTTCCTAAGGTCCTAAAAATCTCGAGAGAAAGACTTCTTCCAAAAGTCTGTCTTGGCCAGAGAGAGAGAGAGAAATCACGTGGTCCACTACAAGCTCAGAGAAGAAAGAAAGTGTGGCTTCAGGAGCGACATCCAACTATGGATCTAGAAGAAGGAGAAGAAGAGAGATGACAGATATGCACACATACTTCATCAAAGGTAAGAAAAAACTTAATTTCTTAGGTTGTCTATGTTTTGCTTCAACTTTAGAGCACAACAGACATGAACTTGATTCTAGAACTAGAAAATGTGTTTTCTTAGGTTGTAAAAATGGTGTTAAAGGATATATTATACTTGATATTAGTACTAGGAAAATATTTTTAAGCACAGAGAAATGAGACCAGCCATACTGAGAAAGAGATTGAAAGTGTTTTGCCTAATGATTTTTAAAATTGTGATGAAGCTCGAATTTTTTTGGAAAATGAAGATACATAGCAAAGATCTGATCACAATGAAGACACTGTCACTAGTACTGAAAATGATACGAGTTTAAATTTTTTCTTACCTTTGATGAAGTATGTGTGCAGATCTGTCATCTCTCTTCTTCTCCTTCTTCTAGAGTTATATGAGCTTGCAGTGGACCACGTGATTTTTCTCTCTCTCTCTTGCTAGCCAAGACAAACTTCTGGAATAAGTCTTTCTCTCGAGATTTTTATCCCTCACGGGCCTTAGGAAAGTGGGCCTGTATGTCATTGGGCCTCATTATAATATCTTAGACAAAGAGGACTCTATAATGGTGGTTATTTGTCTTGATTATTATCAATTGATTTCCTCCATGTTTGGATAATTGACTATGTTATAACAATCGGTACATACAAAATATATATATAATTGAATAATCATAATTTTATTTGTATTTAGTAATTATACTATATTCCTAATATTATTTGCTTCAATCAATTATTATTATTTTTATAACAAACAATAAACTAGTTGTCATAACCACATTTATACCTCATTGTTATATATATATATGATTGGTTCCAATTTTTATCAACTTTATTTAAAATGATCTCTTTTTGTCATAAAGATCGTAATTTGTATTCAATTTAATTCTTTTTGCAAATGTCATTTTAAATCGTTAACCCAAAGCAAATAAAATAAAAGATGGACATGAGTTTATATACACATAAGATACCTCCATTGATAAGAGACATTTTAATCCATGAAGGTTTGATCCAAAACAAACAATATCTTACCAATAAAATTGAATTAAATTTGAAATCAAATTTCATAAAATAATATAACAACTTATTAATTTTAGTGAGCTTAGTTGGACCTATCGTATTACTCGTTAATTAACTTTCTTTCATTTTTATTCATGATGAAGTGTCTCCGAGATTTTACATATTCGGAGTAATTTTCTTATAGGATGTTACTCGTAATCGAGGCTGTTTCCCTTAAAAGATAAATCAATACTTCATAATCAATTTTCGATATTTGTTGAGTTTGCTAAACAAATTTGAGGTTCCCCGTCTCGATCAAGCTCGTGAAGGGATAAACGAAATGGAATCTTCAATTATGCTGAAAAATGATTACATCATCAGATTATGTTAAAGAATTATTTGTGACTGACCTTTATTTAAAAAACATACATATAAAACATTTGAACATTTTTCTGTTGACTAATAAATTTTTTTTTGGTGGAAGATAAATATTTACTTTCGTCTAATAAGGTAAAAAAAATTAACTAAAAACGACCCACTAATTCCCAACATAATGTTTATAATTCAAATATATTTGTTTTATATTTTATTTTCATGACACAATGCATTACATTACCTTCATCTTATTTTCTTTGTTTATCATTTTGCTATTTAATTCAGTTAGTCTAGGGCTGGCAATGGTTGTCATTCTTTAACATATCCTTTTATGCAGAATCATATTCACTCTCACTGGTATAAATCTTCCTAACATGACATTCAATCTCCTCTGTTAAATTTGTTGTCATGTCAAATCTAATTTAATCATATATTACAATAATCACAGATAGCTATTTACATGATCAAACCAAGTATCATCTGATTATAAAGCTGATGATCTGAATTGAAACCAGGACAATCCCATCACGTTATAAAGTGAAAAAAAAAAAGTGGAAAAGGTTCTAGAATTATCCAAGTGGGGAACACCAATTAATTAGCAGGGAAACAGCCCAATGTCAACCAACAAGGTCATTTCTTAGAAGAAAAGTGAAAGGCAACCTCAAATTTTGAAAAAACATCTAAACATAGCAATTCCCATAATTGATATGAACATTAAGGTGTTGGTTGTCACAATGTATGCTGCTGAAAAGCATCTGATTACAATTAGTAAAAAGATAGGTAGGGATGTGAGAATCCATTTTTTGTGGCTTCTGGAGAAGAAGAATAACATAATTCTTTACTTGAGAATATAATATAAGGGCTTTAATCTAAATTAAGATTCTCATATTCTCATTCTGAAGTATCTTTGAACTTTCCTTTTCCCTTCTTTATTTTTTTTTTCTCTCCCTTTTCCCCGCTGGGAATAGCATTCCGTGGTCATTTCTCGCTTTTCATTCAACCAATGCCATCATGTGTGCTCAACCAAACCACTCTCTAATAAATGGTTTTGGTTTTGCTCATGATATTGACTATTTATTAGTCCACAACTTCTGTCTTTCCTATGCTTGAATGTTATGCTTAATGTTGTAAATTCATCTTATTTTTAGTTAAAGTGAAATTTTTAACAAAATCAAAATATATACATATGAAGCGTTAGATTAAATTAATAAGTGATCTTTTATGGTTTGATAACAGATGAAAGAATAGACTCACGTATATACTGTAAATTGATTTATATTTAGTAAACGTTAGACTTTCGACATAATGTAACGTATAAAAACATCATGGATATATGAACCAAGAATAAAAGTTATTGTCCCATGTCACAGTTGGGGCATCTCCATATTGCAAGATAAAGCCAATGGGATACTAATAGAAAGAGATAAGTACTCCTCGGTTCTGTACAAGCACATACTCTTTAAAGATTCGAAAGACTTGAAAGTAGCAAGGACAGTTTGGCAGCATCAAGTAAAGATGAATATCATTAGCGGAAAAACAGTTCCACACAAGAATGAGCATGATATCAAAGCTGCAAAAACAAAGTTATGCCATAAATGGATTTGGTTTTGAAGGCTTTGCTGCTTTCTGTGATTATATAAACACAAACTCAAACAGTCAAAGAGAGTTGTACCAACAAATTATACATGGTTAACTCTCATTGCATAAAGAAAAACCAGTCATCATTGACTCCTACGTACAGAACTTCCAATTGCATGGTCAACAATGATATAAAATTAATCAAGCTATGAAGAACTATATACGAATTGGTAGATATAAGCAACACTAAAAAAGGTGAACGTAAAGGTTAGTTTCCTTTATTCTCTGCCAATAACATCTTCATTTTGATTTTTTCTATGCTTATGTTCTTTTCACTGTCACCTGAGAGTATAATATTAAACATCTCCCGTATTTTGGCGATGGGATACATTCTATACTAAGAAAAAGTAGACCGTGAAGAGTTGTTAAATATGAGTGTGTTTTTTGTTTATTTCTGATGAGTTTTTAAGTGTTGTTGTGGTGCTCAAGAACAACTTCAAATAAATAATGCTCTTGCCAAGTGGTTATAGGAAGTCCATCTAAGGAGCAAATTCGATATCAAGAAGGAAAAGGTACCAAATCAATCCTCTTCTCATATTATTCCAATCCACATGCAAGAAAACTACTTAGGAACTCAGCTTTAACTTTGTCCAAAGTCTCTCGGGATTCTCCTGGCAGCATTAAATATTCTCAAAAATCAGAATCAAGAACAAGAACAAGGAGAAGTGATATCAAGATACTGTTCAAGGAATCTTTGCGGTTTAGCCTATTTATTTCATTGTTTCTATAAGTTCTCCATAAAATGTTCATCTTACATGCAACACCTGATAACTGGATATCACCAAATCAGATACTTTGCAAATGACCCTCTACTCTCACATTTGTGTGATCACCAGCTGTCTGGTTTTCGTATTTACATATATATACATATACATACATATATATACATATACATATACATACATATATATACATACATACATATATATACACACACGTATTCTTGAAGATCTCACGTCGACTTGAAATGAGACGATTTCATAGTATATAAGTGAGTGCAAACTTCACTTTATAAACCAGTTTTGTAAGATTGAGTTATACTCCAAGTTTATTTTTTAATATAATATTATAATAATGAGTTAGAACCTATTCTAAGTAAAATTTATTATTTGTTGAACCACCACTAACTATTGTGTCACCAGCTATCGAACCTCTTATTAATCTCTAGTCTCATACTAAATATATATGTTTTTGTAAGAGGTGTGTTGGAGATTCTACATTTTGAAGACATAAGTTGAAGATTACATCTTGACTAGAGATAAGAAGATTTCATATTGTATAAGTGGATCCAAACCTCATATTGCAAGTCAGTTTTATAAGGTTGTGTTAGACTTTAAAAATATACAAGTGAGTTTCACACACACACACACATATATATATATATATATATATATATATATATATATATTAGAGTGTAATTTATTCTGTATTAGCTGTTAATAATATAATCGTTATTCGTGGAATTTTAATGAGAGTACTACACCACTTACCCTTACAGCACAGTGTGCAACACTAAGCTAACTTGTTTCTTTTCCAATTGAATAATGGAGATTTGCATGCACTTGACACATGCATTGCCTGAGGAAAGCGTGGCTTTAATTAAAACTGAATCGGATTCTAATACATTTTGTAATTATTTTGGTAGTGGGTTAACATGGTATATGCCATTTAATGAAAGGAAAGTTGGCCATGGATAAGAACAAGTTTATAGAGGAAAAAAGTAAAAAGTGAGTGTGGTAACATAAGGAATGACAAATGTACCTATACTTACACAAGAATCAGCTACATTAACCATGGTACAAGTCAAGGGCAAGGGAAGTGGTCCTATGCAGTAGTACTGTGTTTAACCAAATGCAAGTATAAAAGCAAGTACAATTCTTCTATCTTTCCCTTTTTATTAGGTCCCGCCTACTTAGGATTCCAGAGGATGGGGCCAGAGGTTTTGTGCCAAAGAAAGAATGAAAAGTTCAGGGTCCATCTTCCTTATATTTTAAACGGTGCAGGCTGAATAAGTACCAAACTTATTGAAGGAGACAAAACAGAACGTATTCTTATTCTATTCCTTACCTCCAAACAGTTCCATGAGAAGCATCTTCCACAATTTTTTTTAACCTTCCTTTGCATGCCATGGTGCTCTAGTCAATGGAATCCTTCAGCTGCAGTTCTTCATATATAACCTCTCTCTCAAAACTTTGCCAAAGATAAACCTTGCCCAACCTCATATATCATGCTAATAAAGAACTATGTATGTACATTAAGAAAGGACTTGTAAAATGGCAGCAAGATCAAGGTTTGAAACAACAAATTTAGGCTTCTAAGTTCTAAGAATCTTCCTCTAAAACAAAAATAATGGCTGTTCCAAGTCGAGAGGGATATCAGATTCTCCAGAACCAAGTCAGAAAAAAAAGGAAATACTCCTTCAAATGTGAGCATATGATTCCCACTTTTACCTGGCAAACGAATAAAAATGCATATTGGGTTAAAATTTGAAGGATCAATTCTGGAACCTAATGCAGTTTAGAAATTGATATTTGCACATAACTTTTTTTACATATCTAAATGTTAAAAATGTTTTGATCTATATGCAATTCCTGCACAGGAAACCCATGATGTGTGTGGAAAAAAGGTTGTGCATGGAAATAAAAGTAGACTATTTCCGAAGTTTTATTACTGCTGTGGAACTCAAATGGAAAGTACTATCTGAGAATGGAAAATGGAACTAGAAAATGGGGTCCACTGGTGAACAAAAGTAAGAAAGAATAATATCTAATTTTCAGGTCACCGCACAAGGATTAAGTTGGGTTTTCTATTGGTTCTATCCAAGATTCCATTGGATTACCAACTCCCCTCCAACTCTCATATAAATACCAATTTCAGCATGATTTCCACTGAAGAGAAGTGTGTATAGGAGAAACAAGACAAGCACAACAAGCATTCAGAAATTATCTTATTTGTTAGTTCCAGGGCTTGTAACAATTAATCTTGAAAGTGATCAAGAGAATAAACAAGTCATCAAGGTAACTACATAACTTGTGTTCAGCTTTAGAAATTAAGTTAGTTTTTATATGTTATAGGGTGCTTATAAGTGGCTTTTGCAGGTGGAATGTACCATCATCACCAACACCAAGGAAAAAACATTCATTCTTCTTCCAGAATGCCAATCCCTTCTGAGAGGCACATGTTCCTTCAAACAGGAAATGGTTCTGGAGATTCTGGACTTGTGCTTTCAACTGATGCTAAGCCAAGATTAAAATGGACAGCAGATCTTCATGCCAGATTTATAGAAGCAGTCAATCAGTTAGGTGGAGCTGACAGTGAGTACACACGTCACCTTGTGGATCATCAAATCTTGAGGATCATAGAATTTAAGTTCACTAATGCAATTACAATATGTCTATTGCAGAAGCAACTCCAAAAACAGTAATGAAACTCATGGGGATTCCAGGGCTTACCTTATATCATTTGAAGAGCCATCTTCAGGTACGTGCTGACCAAAATTACTTTATATCAATTATACACTGGTGCAATTACTGATATTGTTTTCCTTTTGTCATCAGAAGTATAGATTGAGCAAGAATCTGCATGGACAAAGCAACACCGTGACACACAAAATGAGTAAGATACTAATCTCTTCCATTTTTCTGATCTATTAACGAGCCATAGAGCTGTTATTGATGGTTAAAACTACCTTATCAGCAACAAGTGCAGCAACTGGGGAGAGACTTTCTGAAACCAGTGGAACTCACATGAACAAATTAAGCCTTGGACCGCAGGCTAACAAGTAAGAAAAACTGAACATTTTTCACATGCTTCATGTAATCTTGTTTGTGGAAGTGATGGTAATTTTCTATGCTCTTTATGCAGAGATTTGCATATAAGCGAGGCGCTGCAGATGCAGATTGAGGTGCAGAGAAGGCTCAATGAACAACTTGAGGTGAAATCTAAGTGGCAACTTACTAAGCATGCATTTTCCATTCCATAATTATACAAACAAATCAGTCTATGCACTAATGTATGATGTGTTTTAATTTGTCATCCAAATGCAAACTGTTGTATATCTTAAATTTATTAACTTTTACAATAACTACCTTAAAAATCTTATCAAAGTATCCTGAACCATTTCAGGTACAAAGACACTTGCAGCTTAGGATTGAGGCCCAAGGAAAATACCTTCAGTCTGTGTTGGAGAAAGCTCAGGAGACTCTTGGCAGACAAAATTTGGGAATAGTTGGACTTGAAACTGCCAAAGTTCAACTGTCAGAGCTGGTGTCAAAAGTCTCATCTCAGTGCCTTAACTCAGCATTCTCAGAGCTGAAGGAATTGCAAGGATTTTGCCCTCAGCAAACACACACCAACCAGCCAAACGATTGCTCAGTGGACAGTTGCCTCACATCCTGTGACAGATCACAGAAGGAGCAAGAGATTCAAAATGGCTTTAGACACTTCAACAGCCATATGTTCATGGAACAAAAGGAAGCCACAGAAGCTCCCAACAACCTTAGGAACTGTGAACTCAAGTGGTGTGATGATGGAAAAAAGAACACCTTCCTTGCCCCATTGAGCAGGAATGAAGAAAGAAGAAACTATGCCGCTGAAACCGGTCCTGGCAACTTATCCATGTCCATTGGACTTGAAAGAGAAACAGAAAACAGAAGCAGCATGTATCCTGAAAGGCTAATCACAGAAAACCAATCGGAAGGTGAGTTCCAGCACCGGAACAGAATCAAGACAGAAACAATGAAACCAGTGGATGAAAAAGTTTCTCAAGATTATAGGATGCCAGCTTCTTACTTTGTAGCAGCAAGATTGGACTTAAACAACCATGGAGACAATGAAGCTGCAACCACTTGTAAACAACTGGACTTGAATAGATTCAGTTGGAGCTGAGAAGATAGAAAAAACAGTTATGATTCTTCAAAATTTGATCAGCATAAAAGGAAAATAGTAGGAACAGTGTGTTGCTAGTTGTTACTGCAATTCAATATCAGCTGTTCTTCCGTTCAATCCTACCCTACAATACCATAGATAAGTAATTTTTAGCCAATTGAAATAAGTTGCCACAAGAAGACCAGTGATCAAATTTGTAAACAATCATTAGGAAGGAGATAGTTCCAGCAACATTCGGTTTTGTTCTACTTTATTCAAAATTCAACATCATTCAAAGAAGTTTGTAACATGCATTATTCTCGAGACCAACTTCTTTTCGAATTAAAAATCAAATTTTTACTCTAATAATCACATATGCATATTTAAGATTCTGAATTGTTCATACAAGAAACAATCAAGTCTAACACTGAGCCGCCTTAATATTTCGAGAAACCTCTCTGTTGTTGCAGTGTGATAAGGATGAAAAAATACATGTTCTCTGTTTTTCAGACTTATTAATCAGCTCAAATTCGTATTTATTGATGAAATAATATTTTTCCTCATAGAAAAAGTTATAATTAGAAATAGAAAAGTTGTGTAATAAATTATACGAGAATAGAAATGCCCAAGAAAAGAAATATGTTAGGATAAGCTCTAACCATGACTCTGATATCATATTAGAGAGTGGTTTTTAAGCCTAACTCAACCATACAAAATCGGCTTGTAAGGTGAGGTTTGCATATCACTTATATATATTATAATTTGATCTTATTTCTAGTCGATGTGAGACTTCCAACAATTGTGGCAATGGATTGCTTCAAATGCGTACTTTCAAGATGACTAAGAGTAGCTAGGTTTTTCTTTTGTTGGAATTAGATGTAATGAACTCATTGTGATGTAATTTTACTTTATATGCTCTTTCTTGAATTTACTATCATTGTATGAAAATATAATGTTATTTGAATATCTCCACTTACTAGAAAGTAACTTTTAACGTGGACATAGATAGAACACCTAAATGGTTTCGAATCTAGGGATAAACAAAAAAAATTGTCATTCTTAGCATCACACTTAATGCAGATTGTATGTTAAATTGACTAAGGGATTAACAAATTTGATATATTAATTTAGAACTAGTTGCTAAGGGATTAGGACTAATATGTCTTGATCTGAATGTTTGAATGAAATAATGAAATATTGAATAAAGTTTTATCTTCATATGATTTATTAAACCCTATTCCAACAAAGATTCTTTTGAATTTTTAGCCATAATATTTCAAGTTTCAAGTTCTTCTTGTTACAATTTATTTCAGTAATTATGAATTCAATCATTATCATTTATAAATTGATTTTGGTAAAGAATTTCAAGTAGATAACGAACTTAATTCCCTTGCGATACTCTGAACTTTTATATTCTAAACTTACTCTTATTTGCAAATACTTGCCAAAAGATTAACACAATATAACACAAAAATAAACTTTTAAAATTCTTACATTTTCCCAAATATATTTAAAAGCTTCTGAATTATTCAAAATAATTTTAGAATGGTAATTCACATGATCCAAAATTAATTTTTAATTACTCCTGGTATCTCAAAACTTCCCATAGTAATATTTTTTATTACAATTTATTTGTTTTTGTTGAAGCCCATTTAGTGAGCTGAGGGCAAAAATGGAAGAGAATACGCGAATGTAGTGGAGACAACTTCTTCGTGTAGCTCCATAAGTTCAGCCTGTCTCATAAATTATTGTATTATGAATTGGTATGTAAATTTTATATTTTAGATGGTATCATCTGGAACGTATTTTTCATTTTATATTTTGAAATATATAATTTAAAATACAAATTTTTGTATTTTAAAATACACAATTTAAAATATAAAAATTATATTATGAATTGTATATGAATTATATATTTTAGAATATACTTCTATTTTAAATTATATAATAAAAAATGTATTTTTTATTTTATATTTTGAAATATAAAATTTTAAGTAAAAAATATATATTTTGAATTACAAATACAAAAATTTATGATAATACAAATGAAATTATAAAAATGCAGGAAGAAGCTGTCGGCAGTGAAAAGTGTAGAAAAGAGCTTAAATAATTAAGTCAATTACTTCTTCCACCCACTATTTTCTTCTTACACCCCATCATATCTGAAATTTATTTTTCAAAACACAATAAACTATTTCGATTTCTTTTGGAAGTCAAACATCATTTTCTTTTATGGAAAGCATTTTCTGAAAGTTTTTGATGAGGTGGGAGAAAAAAATTTAATAAGGTGGAAGAAACTTCCTGGAAGTATTTGTTTGCAATGAATGCTATTATTGAAAAAAAGAATTCCATACACACGAAACTCGATTACATTTAATTGAGGATATATACAATATAAAATATTGACACGTTAATTAGCTGTTAGCAATTTTGGCAACAATTTCGTCCTTCCATTATATATATATATATATATATATATATTCCTAGAGAGTAGTATTTGCTCAATTATTCATGTTGGAGAACTGTGACTCAAACTTCAATCATAATACTATTGATTAATTTGAAATTGATTAATCTACTATTTGATAGTATAGACTTTTCTTTTGTAATATGGACAGCTAAATATTGTTCTAATTCATGAATTATTTATCTTTTATTCTATGAACAACTTGCTAAGGAGGTAAGTAAAACTTGATCAAAAATATTTTATCAAAAATTAAATTTGTCTTGAGTCTATCATTAATTTAATACCTCTATTTTTGTGACCGAATAACCAAATTGATATCAAATTTTTAGAATGAATGACATTTGTATTTTTAGTTTATATGACAAATTACCTTTTGAACAATAAAAAACAGGAAATTTTAACCTAAAAAATTATATTAAAGAAATGCAGTTCAATACTTTATTATTTCCATTTTTTTGCGTATTTAACACTTGAAACACATGGTCAGCATTTTTTTAACTACATATTTTTTATATTATAATTTGCATTTAACAAAGTCTGGTTTAACTATTGTTAAATATATGAACAAGTGTGTTGACCGACACTGTGGGTGTATTTTTTTTATCAAGATGAAAGTGTGATGCATCATTGTTTTGTAAAAGAGAAATCTGGCAGACAAAAATGAAACAGTAAAAGTAGTTTCTACGAAGAAAAGCAATTTTTTATTATTATTATGTAAATATTATGTAAATAGCTATTAAAAGAAGTGAACTTTATTATTTACTAAAGAAAAAAAAATGAAAGATAAAATAATAAATATCAAACAAATAGGTGTATTTTGTGGATGTCAAAAGTACTATGTGTTAAAAATGTCTTAAAGTCATGGATGAACTTAATTTCTTTCACCTACAGACAACAATAGAGTTTAGTTTGTTCTATGGTTGCCTTCCATCTGTCGGTCTCTTTTGTATGTATTTTCATTGTATACATCTAGGTCAGGTTTCATCTGTTTTAATAAATTCTTTTTTGGATACAAGTTATTAAGAAAAGTTTTATATATGCTACTAATTCATATTAACTAAGTTTAATTAAGTCTAATTCTAGTTAATATATTTTTCACCCATGTATACAATTTAAAAAGACAAACACAAAAACACATGATCTCTAACTTATACATAACAAAAGTTGTAAACAATATTAAGAAGGACACTGATATACATTGACACGTGACGTGACGAAAACATTTAATTGACATGCTATTTTTTTCTAAAATTACCCTTTTATCTTTAATAAATATTAAAAAAGTGAAACCCACCGTGTCATCTGAATGTAAAATATAAACATGTGTATCAAAGTATTATTTTTGTATTAAAAAATGAATTTTAAGTCTAATTCAATTTTACAAAACCAAATTTTAAGATGAGATTTGCATTATATATATACTTAAAATTAGTCTACTCCCTCGCTCAGAGGTATATGCATCTTATGTTTGAGACTAGATATTAAATGATCCAATAAATTTTAAGTATAACTCGATTTTATAAAACTTGTTACACTTGTATATATTCTAAATTAATTTATTTCTAGTCATTGTTTTTTTTTTAATTAGACAAGAATAGAATTTTGATTTATTATCAATCTCTCATAGATGTAATTGATATATAAATAATTTTGCTGTGAAGAAGACAAATATGAAAGGAAGAATGAAGAAGTTTGGAAGTGGATGGGCCAAGTCATATAAAGGTGACAAATGTGGAAATGGAGATTGAAAAACGTGGTGCATCTTCCATAGCATAAAGAACAGCAGCATGGAGACAAGTTAGACTCGAAATCCACGCAAGATACGTACATGGTAAATGGTCTAATATTAATTTTGAGGAGGACTTAATGCCAACCCCGTGAAAGAACCCAAAAATATCTGGGTGGTTGGCATCTTCTCATCCATGTCCACATCTCTCTTTCAACAAATCAATTCCAATAAAAACTACGACAACGCAAATTAAAGCACCCCAATCTCCATACTTTTCACGATGCATGCCCACCTCACAATAACTCTTTGCAATAAACCACTCTCCACCAAGCCTAAAAATCTGCAATTCTTTCTTTCATTTCTTAGCTACGTACATTATGACAAAACCACACAATCAGAAACTACTAACACAACCATCACACGCCATACAAAAACCTCTACGTGACGTGTACTATAAAACCCCCACTCAATGCCATTCATTGCTCACTATACCCTTCCTTTCTCTCTCTTTTCACTTATTTCATAAACCCTCTTAGTTTCTCAACAGCTGCAACCACTCTTCGTCAATGGAAGGAAACGATTTGTCCCACAACATGCCTGCACTCGACACTTTTCAAAGATCTACTTCATCTTCCCTTGAACCAAATGAGATGATCAAGAACAGCACTGAAGATGATAAGGTGAAGGAGCAAGAGGAAGGGCATAGGGTTGATGTAGAAGAAACGGGGCGTGAGAAGCTGAAGAGACTCCGGGAAGAGGTGATGATGATGGAGAAAGTTAATATACCAGAAGATTGGGGCCAAGAGCAAAAGCTGAACGACTGGGTCGACTATACTATGTTTAATGCGTTCCTTGCTCCTCATAGCTTGATTGTGTCTGCTCGTGATGCCCTTATTGCTAATGCATGCAAAGCAAAGTCGCCAAGATTAAGGACCTGAAGTAGTTTCTGATGTTTCCTTTTCACTGGCTACTAGTTGTTCTTAATATTCCGTGTTATGACTAGAATTATATGTTTTTGAGATTCACATATGCTTGGATCTCATTATGATATTCTTTCTTCATCTCGTTAGTTCAACGATTTTCTTCACATTATAATCTCTTAACCATCACAAATACTACCAAATCTGTATTTTAGTTTTTCTTTATATGCATGTTTATGCAACAAATATAATTTTCTTTAACTTAATAATAATCTATGAGTAATTATCTTATAGAACAACAATAATAAATCACCAATATTATAAACAAATATTATAAACAAAGCAGTAATATTTTAACATGAAAATTTTCTCAAAAGCAAAGATAAAAACCTTAAATCGTTCATAAAAAAATAATTCCATGATTAATAAAGACTACGAAAGAGATTTAATCAACTGTACATAGAAAACAAGTTTATAAATAGAGAACAACATACAGAAAATCTAAATATAAAGTTCAATTGGAACCGATGCCTAAAGGCTATACTATCTCGGTTCTTTTATCAACCGAGGCAAAAAAATCCTGCTTTCCCTTTATAAATTAGACTTTTCACCTGTCAACTTTTTCAAAATAGGTCTACTGTCTCGGTTCTGTGCAGAACCGAGACAGTATGTCGTGCCAAAAACTGATAACCTATGTATTTAAACGTTTCAAATCCATTTTGTCAACCTCTACTGCCTCGGATCCATTTGAATCGATGTCATAAGGCCTTTATATCTCAGTTTAACCGCGAACCGATGTCTATAGTTAGAAATATCTTTAAATTTTTCCATTTATAATTTTATTTTGAATTTTTCTGAAAGGTTTACGCCTCGGTTGTCTTTAGAACCGAGGTAGTAGAGTTTTATTGCCTCGGTTATCTACTTAACCGAGGTAATAACTTCTTCGATTTTTAAAATTTAGACCTTTCATTCTCCCCTTTCACTCTCCCGTTTCATTTTCCCCTTTCACAAGCTTCTCACCACCATCATCCTCAACTTGCACCAGTCAAACTCAACCTCAGACTCACATGCCAATTGGTGCTTCTCATCTCGTGCGAATAGCTTACCGTCGTGTCGTCGCTACCTCCACCATTTGTCGACGCCTACCTCTACCACTGGCCGCCATGATAAGATTTTTTAACATATTGTTCCAAGTTGCTGCTACTACTTCTCTCGCGCGAACTACATTGTTTGTTGTCGCCATTGGCCATTCGTCGTAGCCACTGACTGTTCATCACCGTCTTCGACCGTTTGTCGCCGCCTTTGATCGTTCATTGCCACCTTCGGCCGTTCATCGCCGCCTTCGATCGTTCGTCACGCTGTTTTGTCGCTGCCTCTGTTGTCGCAGATAAAAAAGAAAAAAATTATTTTGAAAGGCAAACGTCCGCATTTTCTGAAAAAAATAACCATCCACCACCTCGGTTCGAAACCAACCGAGGCAAAAGACCCCCACATACTACCTCGGTTCAGAACCGAGGCATAAAGGCTACCCCTTTTTTTAGGTGTATATTAAATAATTGATTATATATCATTTTTGGGTGTATGTTTTATAGAGGTTTGGGGCGGGATGTGTTGGAAATTTAAGGATGAGTCTAAGTCTCCATATTGAGTAGAAATAAGAAAACATCATATAAATATGAAGATTCATTAAGTCATTGTTTTAAAATTTTTGGTTAAGAGTGTTGTCAATTTCTTATAATTAAGCTTACGTTTTATTTTTGTATTTTTCAATAAACTTCCTCCTTCCCTCCTTCCTTACTAAACCTAAAGAGCGGGTGGTTGAGTTAAAGAAAAACATGCATTCAAATATAGTAATCGAATGATATTTGTTTTTCCAATTTTGAAATCCATTTTAAGAAGAAAAATACCATGCGTGCATATTCAACCAGCTTCATGCATGCAACAAGGATCACCATAGTGGTTACATTTTCTCTCTCCAAGTTCTTTTCTTTTCTTCCTTCACATCTCCATCTCACCGTGCATGTGGACGACTCATCCCTAGTTGTGGTATGATGAAGAAGAGAGTCATATTTCAAAACAAAACGAACAAAATTTATACATGTATTGACAGTGTAAATAAATATATAGATAAATATTAATGACATAAAGAAGGAAAGACGTTGAGTTTTCAGAAAAAACATAAGATTGTGTTGTTTTTAATTTTAAAATAGAAATATTATTGCTCAATTTTGAAATACAATTATATTTTTTTGGAAAACTTTTTTTAACAACTTTCCATTACAACATTTTGATAATTGTCTAAGTGACAGCTTTTCATTGGTGGATTTAAAATATTTTTTAAAAAATATTTAAAATGAACCAATAAATTTTGACATGCAGTTATTATTAAAAACTTTTAGTTATTAACGTAACATTATCTTATTTTTAATTTTTTTGTTTACATAATTTCAAAATATGGTTATATGTGAATTTTTTTCATTTGAAATCTGGTTAAGTGTTTAATTTTTTTTTCACCAAATTTTAAAATATGATTAAGTATAATTTTATTTTTACTTAATTTAAAAAATTTGATTAAGTATTAATTTTTTTTATCAAATTTTTTTGAAATTTGATTATATCAATTCTTTGTATTTATTACCCAATTTCGTAATCTGATGGAGTCCTGTATTTCAGAATCTAGTGTGTCCCCAATTTCATACACCCCATATCACACATATAATAATTATTTATTTATTTAATATATATTTTGTAAGGGTAAAATGGGAACTGCATCAAAAGTGGGAGTGCAGTAAGAAAACAATTAGGTGGAGAAAGAAACCACCAAAATACAATAGTGGAAATGCAAAGCCCATTTCAATGTTTTATAGATTAGGCCTAGCCCAATCCATATCCGTCAATGGCTGCTGCTATATACTTATTTCTCTGAACGCTCCAAACCCTAGCTAGGGTTTCGCCTCCGGTACTTTCTCTATTCAGAAGACTATTACATTTTCTTCTGCTTTCTTCACTGATTCCAATTCTCACTTTCTTCATCTCTGCAATTTTTTCGCAGCTCTGACATCTGTAGCAGCCTAGCCGTTGAGTTGGAAAAAAGACCAAGTTTCACAATGAGGTATTCATTCTCGTGTCTTCTAATTGTCAATGTTCATAATTCTTTGGTCGTTCACCCGTGTTATTTGTAATGTAATGTCTCTGGTCGTTTTTCATCGATAACTTATGCGTACTGTGTGCGGTGATACTGTTAATTGGTATCGTTTGGTGAATTTCGGGCGTTTGAATAACCTGTGCTTTGTGGTCTCTAATTTGTTTTGGATGTTGGCTGTGCAGTAAGCTTCAGAGTGATGCTCTAAGGGAAGCTATCACTGGAATCATGGGTGATTCCAAAGAGAAGAACCGGAATTTTGTGGAGACTATTGAACTCCAAATTGGACTGAAAAACTATGATCCCCAGAAGGACAAGCGTTTCAGTGGCTCTGTTAAATTGCCTCATATTCCTCGCCCCAAGATGAAGATTTGCATGCTTGGAGATGCCCAACACGTTGAGGAGGTAACTAGTTGTTGTAATCTAGAAACACTTTTTGTGAGATTTTCAATTAGATGCAATACTTTATACTGTGGCAAGTTCGGAGATTCAATCCTGTCTTCATTGTAAAATTACATATTTTACATTAGTTGTACCTTTGCTGTATGTTTATTTAAACATTGATTGTGCTGCTTATTTTATTGCTTTGCAAACCGTTGTTTCCTTTCTATTATTTGGGCTCTAGTTTTTAGAATTATTCTCCGTATTGACCGCTCTTCTTGAATTACCTTTAAACGATACCTATTTTGCAACTTAGTCGCCGAAATTGAAGAGGGAATTTTGTTATATTTGCTCTTATGGTGCTTTTTGCAATAGTTGTAATTCAATTTTTCTGCCCCGTGGTCTGTTTTGTTAATGTCTATTATTGAAATATTCAGGCAGAGAAGATAGGGTTGGACTACATGGATGTTGAAGCCTTGAAGAAGCTCAACAAAAACAAGAAATTAGTAAAAAAGCTAGCTAAAAAGTATCATGCGTTTTTGGCCTCTGAAGCCGTTATCAAGCAGATTCCTCGTCTCTTGGGACCTGGTCTCAACAAGGCTGGCAAGTTTTGTTCTTTTGTTAGAGTCCTTGTTGATTTGCTTATGTTAGTAACCATTTTATTTTAGAAATTGCTTCTTATTTGTTAATCTCTGGTCACATTGTGCTTTGCTCTATGTTGGTTTGCTTTTTAGCTTATTGTTATATTTTCATTTACTTGCTTTAGCTGATTACGATTTTTTGCCCGGCTTTGCAGGGAAGTTCCCCACACTTGTGACTCACCAAGAATCTCTCGAGTCAAAGGTTAATGAGACTAAGGCTATGGTCAAATTCCAGCTTAAGAAGGTGCTCTGCATGGGAGTAGCCGTGGGGAATGTTAGCATGGAGGAAAAACAAATCTTCCAAAATGTACAACTGAGCGTCAACTTCCTCGTGTCATTGTTGAAAAAGAACTGGCAGAATGTAAGTAGTGCACTCTTAAATGGAGTAAAACTGATTCATTGTTGACTTTTATCTTACTTTCTAGCATACTTGGTCTCACCTTTCAATCGTCTGAATGTTATCTGTTCTTGATTTCAGGTTAGGTGCTTGTACCTGAAGAGTACCATGGGGAAATCATACCGTGTGTTTTAAGTTTTTTTTCTTAAATTCAGTGAATTTCTGATCGCACTTAATATATTGTCGTGATAGGTTGGACAGAATTTTTCATTGTTCTACAGTTTTGTTGGATGAGTATTTTTTAGTTAGTATTTTGTGTTATTGACGTGTGTTTCCAGTGCTTTGTGCTTTGCAACATCGGATAATTTAAGCGGGGTGCTAATTTTAAGGTACCCGTTTTTTATTTATACAACATGTGGAATGGCCCGTTGATGCACATATCCTATGATTATATATAACTGGCAGCAGCTGCCTGGTTAAGGTTTGAATCAGCTTTTAGATATAGTTTTGAAGGTAAGAATAAGTTTTAAACCCAATTGAATGCTATTTTGGATATCTATGTATCTACATAGATTTAGTAATGGATCTATTTTGTTACGATCTTAATT